AACTCCTGAAGGGTGCTTCCCTGGAAAACTTCAAGTAAATCTCCAACTAAAAGGGTAACCGGGAGATGTGTACTTCATCCGGCTCTGGCAACCGAGGCTTTCTGCTGGGCACCGTCTCCCTCCTAGTGCTGTCCTGGGCGCCCTCGCCAGCTCTCCTCCTCTCCCTGCCCTGAAGGGGCTCCCACCTTTGCCTGTTCTGCCCCACAGGGGGGTTCCAGCTGCACTGTTCGCCTCCTCACAGCCCCTAGTGCTGGCATCCTATCCTGCGACAGAGACGTCCTGTCTGTGGAGCACATCTTCTTTAATTAGCTTTTATGAACCAGCAGCAGCTTCCTCTGGACCCCCACAATGGCCTGGGTCACCCTGACTGGGCCAGAGGGCAGCGGCTGACCTTGTGCAGCCAGCAGGGGTCACTGAACTCCTCGCTCCCGGATGAAAGGCACAGACAGGGGCTGCACTTCCTGCGGCAGTGCCAGCCCTATTACCCAAAAGCCTCTGGAACTCACCAGGCATTAAGAAACTGAAGATAAAGCATGTGATGTTTTGACCTCACCTGATGATAATTGCAAACAATTTGTACAAACTGTAAATGAAAACTATTAAGATTTTATAAAGCACGAACTGAAGAATAATTCTTAGAGACATTAAAAGCTTTTATTTGTAAGTTCTTCCTATATTCTTTCCCAAATTGGAGTTCTTCCAAAGAAATACCAAAGTATCATGTTGAATTTTTGATAAAGAGCAGCAAATAAGATCAATTGAAGACAACCACATCACAGCTTTTATGTTTAGATCCATGCACCAAAATTGTAATTAAATCTCTTAAATGTGTTGAAAATATATCTTGATGACATATGAACAGACACAAGGAGGGACTGACGGGAACTTTCATTTATTATAACCATCTTTTGTGCTAGATATGTATATTGCGTGACTCTAAAAGAAACACATGTTCAGATGTATTGATACTCAGGCCTTCGAGTCTAGCTCGGAAAACATTTTTTGGAAATGACCAACTGTGAAATACTTTGAAGGCTACATAAACGTATGAAAATGATTACGCCGGCACGTGACAGACGCGGAGTCCTGACTTTCTCTGGCTTTACGAGCGCGACCATTCATTATTTCCAAAGTGAAATTTCGGCGTTCTTTAAATTCTGTTTCTGCCGTGCTGCGCTCTCGAATAGATGTGCTAGAATCTCCACTCAGACCCCAGCCCGCTGGCGGGCCCTAGCTGCTGGGGGTGGCCCGGCCCTGTCCCGATCTGGTCCTTAAGCGTGGAGGCTCGTCCTGCGGCTGCCTGGGCCGGGGTGGTCCTCGCACTGCCGTCCGGGGGGGGCGCTGCCGGCGGCCCCAGACCTCCGCCCACAGCCGGAGCTGGCAGCCCTGCGCCTGGTGCAGCAGGCGAGGGTAGTTACGAATCAGTCTTCCGAAGGAGTGCTTCAGCAATGATTCGTAAGGGACGAGTTTTCGTCACAGGAAATTATGCAAGTGACTTCTCTGGTTCTGCTAGGACACTTGGTGAAGTGAAAGAAAAACACCCGTGAATGGCCCTGGGGGTCTTCGCGCTGTGCTGCGCCCCGCGGCCCCCGGCGCCCGCC